TGCCTCGGAAACAGCGTCAGCATGAATCTTCCAGTAAAGCCAATCGACAGCTGGTCAAGAGCAATTCGCCATCGTCTTCTGGTGGAACCGACCTTCGAATCTCTTCACTCAGACCGTTTTCACCCGAAGCGAGGGAGGAAGTCTCATTGACTGCATCAATCTAAACGTCTGCAGTACAACGGGATTCAGCCGTCGTCTTCTGGTGAGATCAATCCACGAATCTCTTCTTCATGCGCATTCATACGGAATCAACGTCTCTCCAACAATAGAGTATAAAGAGCAAAACAAAAGAAATGCCAAAGTATGGAAAATGAAAAAGCCGCAAGCATAATTGGAACAGGTAGTTAGGTGGGCCGAATAAGATGTGAAAATATGCAGATAGAAAGGTAAGGTGGAAAGATAGTTAGTTAGGCCGGTAGGTAGATAGGCATATAGATGGTTAGGTGGGTATATAAACATGTAGCGACGCAGGTAGGTGGGTAAAAAGCAAAGTCTGTATATAGATAGTCAGCTAGGTAGGTTAGTATGTAGGAAAGAGGACAAGCATGCACGTGGGTGAATATACAAGAAGGTATTAGTCGGGTGGTCAGATGGATAGATCGCTAGATTGGCAGGTAGATACTGTGTGTGTGTGTGTGTGTGTATGTGCGTGTGGGGAGGTTGTGTGTATGTATGTAGGCAGATATGTTTGTGTATAGGTATGTATGTGTGTGTATTTATGGATGTATGCATGAATGTGCGTAGGTGGGCAGGTAGATAGGCAGAAGATGATTTAATTCATGAATGACTGACCACTTGTTGCATGACAGCATACTCAACGGCGAAGAGGAATACTGGAGGAGCAGTTGGGCAGGAGCCATAGAGAAATGCGAATGTGGACATGTCGAGGGTTTCGTTAGAAGAAGCTGAAGGCTGGAAACAAACCACAATCTCGCGCATAATAAATGGTGAGACAACCCTAAAAGGTGTGGGAAATTACCGAGAATTGAGGACGAGTCTGTCAATGATGAAGTGAGAATAACGTTAAATATTTGCAGACAATTGTACTTTTCCATATCCCATAAGTTGGCTAAATGGGCGGATGCGACGTAAACAGGCAAGACAAGCCTATTTGCTCCTTTAGTGGAACGTGTCGAGAATTGAATATGAACTGTGTTCATCCGGTGTCGTCCCCCACTTGCCCCACTAAGCCTTACTTCAAAAAAGGTATCCTCATTCCGGATGAAATGGACTGTAGGCTCGACTTCGCCTGGGCCTCATTGGCACTCCCAGCGGGCCTCTGCTCCAGACTCAGTGGCATTCGTGATTGGCCGACTCGGGCTCGAGTCCCGTTGGCGGTGCTAATGAAGTTAGTTCAGGCCAAGGCAAGTGAAGCACAATGGTATCATGAGACCTGCTCAACACGTTATGTAAAAATGTAACTATCACCATTTTATCATTTTATGACAAAAGTCGTGCAATTTAATTCTTGAACTGCCGAGAAAAAGTTGACGACCGAGGCGGTCATTCAAGATATAACGGTACTTTCAAGACCTACTCAATACTCAATAAGTAGTGTAGTCTATTGTAAGAGCAAATAAAAGTCTGCCCTGTCCCACCACAGAGATGTGATATTGAAGGGCACATTCTCTCTATGACCCACTGACACTCGGGGGGGGTACATTGTGTGGCGGTAGCTCTGGCCGAGCCTGCCGCCCCCTCAAGTCGAGTCTGGGCGAGATGGGGCCAAGTGAGCCTCAACCGTCATGAGGGATTGCGAAAAAAATGCACTATCACAGCTTAACTCCACCCAAGCGACTGAGGCTGATTGGGATTTATTTCAAGAATTAGACAAAATTTCGAAAATCACCCTCGACTAAAATGGACCACCGACTGGCAGTGACAGCAGCGAATGTGCATCCTCGAGTGAAAGGGTACTCACAGTTTCGCCAGCAGCAGGACGACGAGCGTGTAAACGTCATGGGTTGAGATGGAGCTCATCTTCCCGGCCATGTTGAAGCCAAGATAGAATAGTGCAGTGGCGGCAAAGGAGTCAGCTGCATGGGGCGATAGCCAAGGGGCAAGAAGAGAAAGAGGACGTGGCAATATGAGAAAATGTAGAAGATAAATATTGACCAAAAATGGATTGCCAAGAATCTTTAAATGCTGTCTTGGCATCGGACGTGTGAACTCTCGCGAAAAAGTTGCTAGATGTCAGTAGTTTGTGAACTGACCGCGTCGGAAACCGAAATACGATCGCCAGTCGAGACGGGCCAACAATTCCCGGGTACATCATTCAGTGACGCCGATCCTTCTGTGTCGAGAAACCGTCCTTCACGAAACCTCGCATAAAGCCCGGAGCCATGCAAGGTGACCGGTTGCAATTCATTCGACTTATTGTTGCCTAATTTCGTCGTTATGGTGAGGTATTCGAAATGTTAAGAAGACATGGCGTTTCAACCAGAACGAATTTGTGAATTCGTATCACAAGAACCCGAAAAGGATCTGATTTCCTTGGTTTCCCGCTCGGACGACGTTTGTCACGGCAGGACAAACGAAAGCCTAGCACGAGTTTATCAAAGACACGGAACAGTGACACGCGGTCGCCTTCGTTACTGTTGCCTGTGCCAGTTTTGTGATTATTGCATACAATTATATGCAATTATATATCATATATATATATATATATATATATTTAC